AGAATTATTAATAAAATAGGAGAAGCTTAATATAAAATTGTTAAAGGACAAAAACAAAGCAATGTTAAAGAAGTTTGGGAATACTGTCCTACCAGATATCAAGACTTACCACAAAATGAGCTTGTGTCAGAGTGAGATATGCAACCTGCATAGGTGACAAAGGACTAATACAAGAATACACAAAATACTCCAAGTTAATAAAATAAGATTTTAAAACTACAATAGAAAAAAGAAAAAGAAACGTAAATAGGCAGTTCACTGGAAGTAAAGTGGTAGGCTTCAGAGGAAAACTAATGGCAAATAGCAAATAAACACATGAAAAAATGGTCAACCTTGGTAATAATGAGAGGAGTGTATATTTCAACAATTATATGCTGCTTCACTTAGATTCAAAAAACTTTTTAAAATCTGATCAAAGCAAGCACTGGTGAGGATATAAAGCAACTGGAACTTTCATACACTGATGTTCTGTGTGTAAACTGGGACATTCACATTGGAAAGCAATTCATTGGTATATCATAAAGTTGCAAGTACACAAAACCCTAAAACCAGTTGTTTCACTTTTAATTGTGTACTTTAGAAATACTTGGCAATTACTAGTATTTAGAACTTAAGGAATAATTGGCCAAAATTGCCAATTACAAGAATGTTTTCTGTAGCACTGTTTAAATAATAAATATAAACAACAACAACAACAACAAAAGAACGGATACGTTGTAACACATTCATATAAGGGGATACTCTGTCTTAGCAAAAATAAATGAGTTGAAACTACATGCACCAATATGGACAAATCTCAAAAACATCATTTGAGCCCTATGATAACATTTACATAAAGTCTAAAAATACTAAATACTATGCTGTAATTCACTTTGGAACCATGCATACGTAGCAAAAACCAAAACCAAAACCAACCATGCATAGCTAAATACACAAACAGGATATTGGTTACCTTGGGAACCATAAGGGAGGAGAACTGGATTAAAAAGAGACATGCAGGGATTTTTTCATTGTACTTAACATATTAAAGTGGGTGATTCTTTGTGCCTGGTGTGTTTCATTGTTAAAAGAGAAATAAAAAGAACTGGAACACAGGTGGATCAGTTGGGTATGAGGTGAGCACCAATGGAAAGGTGGGAGAAGGGGATGAGTGCATAAAGAGACAATCTCACTTGGAGTAGTCTGGGAAGAAAGCCAAGTTAGTACAAAAAATGATTATCAGGTAGAAGTGATCTAGAAAGGACTTGAAATAAAAAGACAAAACTTAAAAGTATGTTTGGGAACTTGGAGAGGATATTGAGTTGAGGAGTCACATTTTCAAAGTAAAGCGTAAGGGCAAAACATCCCATAGCAGTATTTTGGAATAACTGGTAGAAAAAGAGGACATGGACTGGAGAGCAAAGTCTAGTAAGGTTCAATTATTTTGTGAGTGTCTTTGGGGGAAGCGTTGGAGGCTTGCTTGCCAAATTTTTGGATTCCACAAAGCTGAAAGTGAAAAGTAATATATTTGACAGAATCACGATGTTTAAAGTGCATAGATATTCTGGAATGAGAGCCTAAAGACAAAATATTTTTTTGCAGTATTTAAAATGTGGCATAATACACTTCAAAAAATTTAAACTTATCTAATTACAAGTCTTGATTCAACCTGAATGCCTTAGCACATCGCAGGACAAATGTGAACAACTGATTTGTAAAAAAGCACAGAATATTTGACAAGTATTAGTAGCTGTTCTAAGCAATGGGTCCAAATATTGGGCAATGATAAATTACAATAATTTATCATTTAAATTAGGACTATTCCAAAGGAGAGTAACCAGATGTTAAGAGTGTAGGCAGTACTTAGGAGCTTCAATGAAGCAGTATCTAACAACGTAGAAACAAGATTGACCTTTGAGGATTAAACTAACGAAGTCCACTAGTATGAGTGGGATTAACCAGCTACAGGCCTAAACCAAGACATTATCTTTTCATGGATGACTTTGCAAGTGAGTTAGATGTAATCTCAGGGAGGAAGGGCTGGAATGTGATTCTAATAGAGTAAGAAACCTAATCAATAATAATATTTCTTATCCAAAGAAAGACTGAATAAACAGACTTGAGGAGAGCAACATTCTGATGCATATGAGCTATAATTTTCATTGTAAATCTACGAATCTTTTTCTAATTTATATTTTCAAATCTTGTATTTGGATAGCATGACTTCGATAGCATTTCTCACGTACCAACAAAGTTGAGTTTTCCAGCTGTGACAGTTGAGGGTTACAACATGAGATGGTGTAACCTTTCCCTGACACAGGCTCCAAAACCCAAGAATACTAAGATGTTTAGCTGGGAGGAGACAAGCCAGAGGTGAAGTCTGGTGCTTATCCTCAAAAGGTTTAAAGTTTTTCTTGTAGAAACAGAGGTTAGACTCTTTTGATTGTTGGGGGCAGAGAATAGAACAGAGACAACAGGTAGAAAGTACAAAGTAAGATTTCATCCAGCTAAGAGGAGGAACATGTTAACCATTTGAATTCCCAACAATGAAACAGCTAATATCTTTCTCAGGGTTCTTTGATCATAAGCAACAGAGAAAGTCTGAATAAGTATAGCAAATAATAATAATAATAGCAATAATAAAAAGATAAGAAGTGGACCACATATTTGAAGGAGAAAGTGAAGTGCCAGGCCTTAAAGGGGTCAGTGATCAAGGCAGCTACACAGAGGGGCAGAAAGTAAAGAACTGTTTCTTTAGGGCACCATCCTCATGATGAATCACTCTCTGTTGATATCTTCCTTTAAATTACTTGGGAAAAAATTCTGATTTTCAAGTTTAGGCCAGGTGTCTCACCTCTTCTCTCCACCACCCCTGACAGGGAAGGGTAGTGGGCCATCAAGAGTAGGGAATCTTGATGGAGACACCATCAAGGCTTCATGCAATGTAAAGGGACAATTTATCAAACGGAAATTGAGGAGCAAGTAAAAATACTAGAAACGCACCATATTCTCATCATTGCAAGTGCAGGAGAAAGCCACCTATTTTTCAGCAATCTTCTATGCTGGTTGTTGGAAAAGGAGATTTAGAAGACCCCTTTCTGTTCTATGTTTCTGAAGAGAAATTGAGAGGTGGAATTGATTACTGACATCCAGGGTCATTAGGAAAGGCCTAGTGAGGAATAGCTGGGGCTGGATGTGAGGGAAGGATGGGACGCAGCCGACAGGGGAGTGAGCCATAGAGCAGGCATGGTGATTCAGTGTACTAATCAGAAAAGTAAGATAAGAAGCTCCTGGCATTGGTCACCTCAAACTTGATATATTTAAATTAGAAGCTACCAGTTTTCTTCTGTTCCATGACATGGTTACAGATAGAGAAATGGAAGAAGTAAGATGTGGTAAGTTAGTAAATGAAGAAGACACAGGAACTCCTGTCTCTCCAGACCTCCTGGTAGAGTGAGATGCTATTTGGAGAATTTAAGGAATGGATGATGATCCTAATGACAAGGGACCTGCCAGCCTTAATAGTTAACCAGTGGAGCTATATAACAGAACTGAGTCACAGTCCTAAAATTCTGAATTTCATGTCTGTGAAACAAAGCAATTAATGAAGGAAACAAAAGCAATAACTAGCCATTAGTGACCTCTAGTGGAAGTAGGCTTTAGGGAACTTAAATGATCTTTGATTTCTGTTTTGTTTTGTTTTCCTATTAAGAAGATGAAAATCAGTGTTTTTCGCCAATTTATTTGCAGAGGAGTGTGAGGGAAGGAGCGTCTGAAAATAGGACAAAAATCCTACCCCGAAAATGAAAATGTGCCAGGAACATGTTGGGCTTTGAGTCAGACTAAGTTGAATAATGTTCTGGAAAAGATGTGGATGAGTAACTGCTGTCAAAGACATTACCTGAGAAAAGAAGAGTTTTTGAGCAGTGACTTCACTGGTCACTGGGGGAAGTTTGGCATATTAATAGCAGCCAGCAAGAGAACATAAGCTTGAAGAGGAGGCTGCATGGGTTGCCAGGATACCTTTTAAACATCTCTTCTTTGCAGCATGGAAGAGCGCTATTGTTTCTGAAATACGCATACATTTGCCAATTCAGTATTGTATGGCTTGAGTCCCACCACTTTCCTTTTCCCAGTGGGTGTCTGTGCCAAGTGTTGGCAAACACGACTGAACTGGGAGGATGTGGGCAGATGCCTGGTGACCTTAGGCCTTTGAAGTGAGACCAGCCTCATAGAGGGTCCAAGTGCAATCAAGAAGGTCAACATCAAACCACACTGGGCACTCCACATCCATCTCCTTTGGGAAGTGCTTTCAGAATATATAATCTTGACATTGAAGAGAAGCAAAGGAATGCAAAGATTGATGGGAGGTTTTACATCTGTCTGATCACACTGGGGACTAATAATGGGGGGGTAGAATTAAATGGCAGGTCCCAGGGGCAGGGGTGTGGGTGGGTAGAAAAAGAAGCAAGGGAAAGATAAAAAATAGAGACAATACAGAAATAAACAGAATCAGCTTATCAAGCCCTGGGCAACTGTCACTTCTGGCAGCAGAGCGATCGTTGTCCTTGTCTCATATTACCTGCATGGCAGGAGGTGTCATCCTGCCTTCTTTCATTATTCAGCCTCTCCCACATACCCTGCTCTTGTTTACTGATGCTATTGTGCTGCTCTGCAGGCCTGCTTTTCCCCCGGATTTTCTCTCTCTCCTCTCAGTGTCATTTCAAGGATATAAAAATAGCCCCTAAATAATATTTTTGTGAGAATTCCACGCTGGTCTGCAATGTTCAGAATTCTAGTCTTTGTGTGTGGGCAAAAGATGATCTAACTGCCCCCTAAGCCATGACTTCCCTACTGTTATTTCTTAGATGCCAACAAAACCACAAAGCAGAGTTAAGGGAGACCAATATTAGTGGTATTTCCTCTTTCCCCTGCAAAGATCCTTCTGCCAGGATACATACAAATCTCTAGCTCTAGGACAGGCCACTTCAGAGATGTATTCTATAAACCAGTTTACTTACTGAAGATGAGCTAATTATCTTAATTTGCTCCAAAGCTTCTGTCAGGCTGTCTTCAATCTCAGAGTCATCTAAGGAGAAGAGGTCCCCAGCTCGCGAGAGATCTTTTTGTCCCAAAACCAGTCTGAACAGTTGATGCATGGTGAGGAGGAGTTTGATCAGTTGACTTTCTACAGACTCAGAGCCATGTGTTTCAGTTATCAGAGGTCAGTAAGACAAAAACACGTAGCAGGAGGTATATTTTGTATTCCATGAAAGGTCATTTTTCTCCAGACTTGAGGTCTTCATTGACACTCTCTGCAAGGGAAGCAAATGACACAATATAGCCACTGGCAGAATGGCATAAGCTCAGAATGTGAACTTGGTGTCCAACAGAGAGAGAGAGAGAGAGAAAAGAAACCTGGAAACATGTGCCTAGAGTAACAGATTCTAGCTTAATCATCTTTAAATGAGCTCTTTCTTTGTTTTTGTCTCAAAAAGTCTTGTCAAAAATTACTAGGTTTCTCCAGAATTTAATCTGAACTTTAAAAGTCAATATGAGCTTCATTTTCTCCTTTCTACATCCTTCTCTTCTCTCCATGTCACAAGAACAACCAACAATCATGCCTAATACTTGCCAGGTTTTCCTCAAGCAGATTCTCATCGGAATCAAACAGAAAGGGAGAACAAAAGAAAAGGAGCATAAGAAACACCGCCAAGACTCACTTCCTGGAACCTTTTCTTCCAGAACCAGGACAAAGAAACCAGTGCTTACCCTCTTGGTTGGGTTGCCTTGCTATGCTAGCAGCAGAAGTCCCCCCTCCATCAGTCAAAAAGGTGACCTCAGTACTTACCCTACTCCTATGTATTCTATAATCAAATAGCAATGAAATAAAGGACGCTGCTTAGCAGAGTGGGGTTAGATAAATCTCTTCTGAATGTGAAGATGAACTTGATCACTGAAATTGAACATGATAGCCTTGCCATGCAGGCTAAAGAGGAGGGCTTTGAGATCAGGCCACCTTCCCTCTATTCCCACAGTTGAAATAATAAAGTCCCACTATATTTCTCACCCAATTAACAGTCTACAGAGAGTAGGGCAATGGCACAAATTAGACATCTGATTATTCTCATCAGTTCCCTTCTGGGCCTAATATAATCACAGACCATTTAACCGCCAGTGAGGTTTAATGACTTCGCTAAGGTCCCATAATAGCTGTGGCAAGGCTAGTCTCCTGATTTCAGTCCAGTGGGCTTCCCTCACAGTTTATAGTAGAGTGGAATCACCTTATACATATGGGTAGCTCACAAATGCAGCCACATGGTTAGATAGTAAGAGCCAAGAGTGAGTTATTTAATATAAGCAATAGGCAATTCTGCCTAGCATTTTACTCTGAATGTGTTTGCCAGAAAGAATGTGAAAAGGGAGAGGAGAGTCTATCATTCCCTTGGGTAGTCTCAGATCGCTCCTCTGAGCTATTGCTGTGGAAGCACCTCTCTGTGTTGAATGCAAGTTTAAAGACACATACGCTTCATACAACATGGCCTCTAAATACAAGCCAAATCTTTCATAAGACACTCAACTAAATAAGCAATCTGTAGTATTCTAAGTGGTACAATTCATGAGCCATAGGGATTTCAAGGGCAATACTGCCTATATGTAGTTTTTATACTATCTACCAGCTTTTGAAAAATGATGCCTGATACTTACATATCTTTATCTATGTACCAGGCATAAACACTTTGTAAATATTAATTCATTTAATCCTCATAACTATATGAAGTTATATCATCCCCACTTTATAGGTAAGCAACCTGAGGTAGTCAAATAACTGCTAAAGCCATGCAACTACCAAGCTGGAGAGATGGAATTTGAACCCAGAGACTCCAGTAGTGCTAGATTCCGAGTTCATAACCATTATGAAATATTGGCTCCGTGTAAGATGTGAGGCTACTGTTAGGAGTAAAGGTCCTCAGAACATTATTAATATTTAGTGATGAAGGTGTGAGCATGGTTATCAAGCAAGAAAATTAATTCCTCTTCCCTCCTACAGGGCTCCTGGATCCTTGCCCATCTGTGTCCTGGGATTTAGAGCAACCAGAGAGCAAGAAGAGGAGATGCTTGAGGAAGAGCAAAAGAGAGTGGCAAGCTTTCAGAGGGAAGTGGAGCACAGAGTGAGGTACTGCAAAGCAGTTTGCAACCTGGCAAAGGTGGAAGGATGAATCACAATATCTATAAGAAAAATCAGCACAGCGTTTTCCTACATTTTTCTCTTAACACAATTTCCTCCCAGGTTCAGACATTTACAGTGACAAGAGTCTCAATAAAATAATACTCAGAAAAGGTGGATGGAAATGACTTCACCTGACCCATCAGCTTGTTGGACATCCAGCATTCCATGAAATAGAGTCAGCTGCCCCAGCCATAGATGCTCAGGAGCTCCAAGAAGGAGCAGAAATGCATGCTATACAGAAGAACACCCCCCAAGCTTTTCCTGGGCTCTTTCTGCATGCTCTGCATTTACATGACACCTGGTGTGGAGTCCCACATTTATGCTTCCAACATCAGCTCTTACTCTTGAGGGTCCATTACATACAAAACATTGCTTTGGGCCCTAAACAGAAACATCAAGTTGTTTAACACACAGCCATGCAGGAAAGCTTTCGCAAATCTAGGGGTGGACTGGTGAGAGGTAAGATTTGCACATTATTTTACAAAGGGCTCTCTTGTGCATTTTCAACTGTGATCTTCAAAACACCTTCTACAATATGGGGATAACCAAGACAAAAATCTCCTGGATAATACAAAGAGAAGTTTGGGGAAGTACAAGGGAGAGAGAAGTCACTTACAGTGGAAGATGATAATGATTAGCTTTATGGAGGAAATGGCATTTGAGAAGCACCTTTTAGGATAGCTAAGATTTTTATAGGGTTTCATTCAATGCACCTTGTGCTGAGTTCATACTAAGTCATCCGCTCATCTAGGAACTGAGGATCAAGTCCCAGCTCAGCTACTCAGCTGTTGTGGGACCTTTAGTTCACATTTTTTTCCTTTCTTGAGGCTTGGTTTTCTTATCTGCAAAATGGGGCTAATACACACCTAGTCTATTTCACCAGGGTGTTTTGAGGGTCACAGGTGATAACGTGTAAACAATCCCTTTCTAAAATAATGACACAACTCATATTTGGTGGGTGTTTGCCCAGTGTCAGGCACTTATCTCAGTGCTTCCCACATATTGAATTACTCAATTTTTATGACAACTCCATGCAATCAAAAACTGATGTTTAGAGAGGAAAGTAACCACCATCCCAGAGGCACCTGAAGAGTACGTTTCAGAGTCAGGATGGAAGGCAGCTGGTCTCCCAGGATAGCTGTATTCATGACTGTGTGAGATTATTATTGAGCCACCTCCCTTCCCACCAGCTCTCATTCAGTGAGTACCTCCACATGCTGCACATCCCTTCCTAGATAAAGGCTGGCAAGTCACGGTATTTATTTTTTAGCAGCTCTCATCAATATTTTGCTCAGGTGTCTGGCTTCTCCTGCTGGTCTTTTTGTAATAGCAGAAGAGCCAGATCAAATTCTACCTCATGTTCTGAGAAATTCCCTATCCTAACGTATATCGTAGTCCTGTGGCCTGTGTGCATGTATACATATACACGCACCATATACACACAAGCACACACATGTACACACATGCACATATGTGCACATACTTTCTAAACATCAACCTTTTGCTAAACACTAGACACTTTCTTCTCTTAGTTCTCCCATCAGCCCTGCTGGTAGATATTCTCACCTAAGAGGAAACAGGATGGGTGAGATTAAGCGTCATGCCTAAAGTTACACACAGAGCCAAGATTCACATGCAGGTAAGTCAGACTCCAAAATCTCCTACTTTTTGTATGACTTTTAAAAATTGGCTTATAAAATTTTTTCTTACTGCCTTTAGTTTGCGTCCTTCATAATTTATTTCTCTAATCTTAAGGGGTTCTAATCGGAGGCCCACTTTCTCATTATTCAGTTTTTTTTTTTTTTAAACAGATATTGGCTGGCGAATCAGCTTTCTGTAAGGAGAAACAGAAACCACAGAAACAGAAATGACTGCGCCAAGCGTGGCACATTTCAGGGAGTCACAGCTATCCCGCGCAAACTTGCTTTACCTGCGTGCTACTCCTCAAAGGCGCCCTTGCAGTTACTCAGCTGCAAGATTTGAGACTGGGCGGGAGATTCAGGCAGGCTCCGAGGCCACAGCCAGTGGAATCCGCTCAGCTCAGTGAACCTGAAGTTGTTCATTGCGGAGCGGGCGCCGGGTGGAAGAATTCAAGGAATGCAGCCTGATGGCACCGGCAGCCCCAGAGACCGGTCAGGTGACAGGCTGCACCTCACCCAGCGGAGTTACCTCCCAGTGCAACGCTCTGTTTCCTGGGGCGAAACACAAAGCCTGCTCCAGTAAAGGAGAGTTGTTTTTAACAGAGAAAACAGAACTCCCTGTGTTCGTGAAAATCTATACTTTCCCAGGGAAGAATAGGGGGCGGGGGCGAGCCACGCAGGAAACAGTTCTCAACAGGAACTCAAGCAGGTGAACCGGGGCTGTAGGGAGCCACCCCTCAGAGCCCCATGGAAGAGAACTGCAGCTTCGTTAACACTTTCCTCTCCCTGAGATTTCACACAGCTTTTGGAAACACTGAGCGTTCGTCCAATAAGAGTCACCTCCTAAAGAAAATATCCCTTTGCGCTGCCTCTAGAGTAATACTGTTGAAAGTTTAAGTATGCGGGAAGTTGCTAATAAACAGAACAAACCTACTTCACAACATACATACTCTGTTTCCTTATTTGCCGGGAAGTTCTTCATAAAAATCCATGTGGACCAGATATGTTGGATTTGTACTTTTAAATATTGCAGCAACACTCAGAAAAAAACGTTTATCCTGCTTAATCTATTGACACTCTGACGGAGAAAAGGGCACTGGAAACTTCCTTTATTGTTTAAACAGTTAACAGCACACTTTATAAAGGACAGTTTTAAAAACTGCATTCCTCTCTACCCCTAAGTCTTCTGTTCTTGTGGTAGATCTACAGCTGTCAAATCTTCTCTCTTCTGGCAATGCGTACAGGTGGCTATCATGCAGATAATCTCATCTTTGTGCTCACTAGGATGTGTCTATTCAAAGAGTGTGGTCAGGGTGACCACAGTTAAACCAGGTCATATGTTCCAGGAGAATGACCTCATAAATCTGCCTAGACACTTGGTGATCAATCATGTTTTTATGCCATCCACATTTAGAGAACTATTCCCTTGAAGAACTCCTGCATAAAAATCAAGAATCCAGTCATTCGTGAGTAGCTGTATTTTTTCACTGGTAGTTTTCTAATTTACAAGATACTAATGAAGTCTCCTCTTTTAATGGAATAGATGATATTGCTTTAGCCTTCCCTTTTAATCCTCTATTCATTATTACTGATTTTTAATTATTACATTTGTATGCAGTTTTCTTTCTTTTTTTTAAAGTGTGTAGAGTCCTGAATTGCACATTCTGTGGAACTCCGGTAAAAAGAGCAGAGTGATAAGAGTATGGGAATCTGGACTCAACTGGGTTCCAAGCACAGCTATGCCATTACCTGCAGTGTAAATGTGGGCAGGTTAATTAGCATCTTTCTTTCTTTCTTTCTTTCTTTCTTTCTTTCTTTCTTTCTTTCTTTCTTTCTTTCTCTCTTTTTAAGAGTATAGAGTCCTGAATTGGACACTCTATGGGACTCCAATTAAGAAGAGCAGAGTAATAAGAGTATGGGAATCTGGACTCAACTGGGTTCCAAGCTCAGCTATGCCATTACCTACAATGTAAATGTGGCCAGGTTAATTAGCCTTCCTGAGCCGCGAGTTCCTCTTTTGCTCCTGAGGATTTTGCTATGAGTTGTTGGGAGGTTTCAGGAGAGGATGTAAAACATTTAACAGAGAGCCTGGCATATGGCAACCACAGAAGAAGTGCCAGCAATCATATCCTTAGGAGTACTATTACTCCTCTAGATGGTCCACCAGTTAACACATCCCATGCCATACCTTTTAAAAACTAATACACTACTGTACTGTTCACTAAATTGAGTTCACAGAGCTAAAGATGCTTAGGTCATTTCCATTTGTGCCATATTTATATCTTAGTTGTCCTTTCCCTATCTTAGTCATTCTGTCCTTAACTCTGGGTTGTTCCCTTTTCTTTTCTTTTTCTTTTCTTTTCTTTTTTTTTTTTTTTTTTTTTTTTTTTTTTTTTTTTTTTTTTTGAGACGGAGTTTCACTCTTGTTACCCAGGCTTGAGTACAATGACGCGATCTCGGCTCACCGCAACCTCTGCCTCCTGGGTTCAGGCAATTCTCCTGCCTCAGCCTCCCGAGCTGGGATTACAGGCACGCGCCACCATGCCCAACTAATTTTTTCTATTTTTAGTAGAGACGGGGTTTCACCATGTTGACCAGGATGGTCTCGATCTCTTGACCTCGTAATCCACCCACCTTGGCCTCCCAAAGTGCTGGGTTTACAGGTGTAAGCCACCGTGCCCAGCCTGTTCCCTTTTCATGTATAAACTTCACTCTCTTGAATGTATCCCTGTTGATTCTTTGGCAACCTTATCTTGTTTCCTGGAGAGATAGCTTTACTGTGATCCTACCCCCACCAAGGTTGAACAATAACAGTGAATGTATTTAAAGAGCAGAAATAGGCTAGGATACAATGTACCTCAAACTTTTTGTAGCGGGTAATCCAAACACCTGAGTTTTCCAAGGAAGTGTAGCACTCCTTCCCTTGTTTATTAGTGAGAAAGGAGTGCCCCTCCAGGGCACCAGCTACTTTCTTTACGACTTTTAAGGTGACCTACACTCAATACCCACTAATAAAACATTAGTGGCTTACTCTATTATGCATCTGTAGATTCTGCTAAATGAAAATATACACGAACCAGAGGACTTAATCGCCACACTATTGGGATACTGCCTGTAGAATAATTGAAACTCTTGGGAGATATTTCAATCACCATAATTAACTCAAGAAACCAATTTATTCTGAAGAATTCAGCCTCCAGCTTGCAACTTAGGTTAGGATATTCCCTGGCTTTCCCACTTCAGAAAATTCTAGAACGGCAAAATTTATTTACATTACGCTTTAGACTATGTTACTCTGTATTAAAATATTTTCGTTTTATTCACCTGTATTTTAAAAATGCTCATTAACAAACTTAGACTTATTTCAGTTCTAGAAACTTTCAATAAAGTTCTCAGATTTTCTCTTGAAAGAAAGGATTAAAGATTCTTTTGAAGGAGCATCTTTTTCACACAGTGTGAAAGGACTACAGGCGTTCCCATGGGAATTGGCTGCATACATTTCAACCCTTCCCACAAGATGTCTATTGTTCCCTGGACGTCTCGGGGCTTCCTTGGCTGTGACGCGTTGCTACACTTCACTTCTACTGAAAGCCTCTGAGGCTGACTTATTCCATGCGATCCTGAAAGACTCAGCCCTGTCTTTTTGCTAGAGTGCATACAATCTAAGTTTGTAGCAAGCTTATTTCATAAGTATATTTTTAAAAAATAGGTTTGGTGACCTATTTAGGCGAAAGATTAAAAAGCTACTTAATTTTGATTACATATTTCAACTTATTAAATCACAAATAGGAAACATTTCCTTCCAGAAGAATGAGAAATACTTATCTTCAAGTCTAATAAACTTTTTTAAATCAAGGCTTTTGTGGCTTGTCATAATTTTACACTATATTTATTTTCAGCTGTAAACTTTGACTTTGCAGGTCACTTTTGCTCTGGAATAATACAAACCTTGCTGAAAAATCCTAATTCAAATTCTGTGGGTTTGTTCCTTCAGAAAATGTACCAAAACTCTCAAACGACAAGGAAACCTCAGTGTTAAATGTATCTTCATTTACATTTAAATTTCCTTTACTAAATATCTTTATGGCCAACTCAAATAATTCTCTAAATTTTTTTTTTTGCTTTTTAAATTGAAAATATATAGATGTCATTTAATCCAATGGTTGACTACTACAGCAATTTAAGTGTGTATCTGAAAGAATACAAAAGTGGTTAGATTTAATTATGATTTTTAAGATATCTGAAACACCAGAGGAAAAAACAGCAGCAGCAACCAACAGTAATGGTGACCCTGTTCAACCTACTGACTATAATGATGCTACAGTATTTAATTTTATTTGAAAATTCACAGGCAGAGCCAGTTTCTTTGTTGGTTGCAAAATGTTGATTAAGGTAAACAAAAGTATAAAATAGTAATATAGAGACTAGATTATTACGGAGTAAAACAAAAATGCACATAATATGAATCTAGAAGCTCAGCTTTCTGCTCCTGAAGCCTAGAGACATGTTTTAATAAGCCACAGAGAAGTAGCTTTTTTACCCTAATAACCGAAATGCATGCATACATGGCTAGACACACAACTCCCAAATGCGCTCTATCTACATAATCAGCCAGCCCCTGGAAGTTTCTCAGCTCCATTCTCCTATCCCCACTCTGCCTCTCTGCAGCCGCTGACATTTACTTTAATTAGTTTTTGTTTTTGCTGAACAAAAGGACATGAAAGAAGATAGCCATACCTCTTTGCACAGGAATCTCTGGTCACAAAAAATAGAAGGCAAAATGCTTGATCTTTAGAGCACTGCGGCTGGGACCCATGACCTTGCTCAGAGGCAGCCTCGCAGCTGCTGCCCAATCCTGTGGGCTGCAGCCGCGTCTCCCTGTGCTGCTCGTCAAGCCAGCGGTACACTTTCCCTCCCCATGGACTCGGCGTGTGGAATTGGGCAAATAAGTAACTTCTCCTCTCTCTTTCAAACTTCTCCTTAGACCTAATAATTGGCACAAAGCTTCACTTATTTCCACACTAGATTTGCAGATTTCTCTGAGCAGATCCGTAGTTTAAAAGAATCAGATTTGCCTAACAACCAGTAATTTAGGTTCTGTTAATGAATAACTCACTTTAAGAAATCAAGGAAGTTTTAGGTTAATATCAGATGTGGGGCCTTTTAGCAGGCATCAGAAAAAAGGCTTGGGGGAGGAATGGAGGAAGGGAAGCACTGGAATGAGATGGTATTTAAGCCAAAAATGATAGAAGAAAAATACCACAAGAGAAGCAAAAATGGCTAGTGTGAAGGAGCAAATGTCTAATTATATTATTGGTATCGCTTACAAAACACAAAACAACTGAATGAAACTTCCCTGGTAGCACTAGGGATTTTTCTAATCCCGCATGGTTCCTTCTTACATCCACCCAAATTGCTAACTCCCTTCCTTTTACCATCCAAATATAGAACGCCTCTCTTAAGACCTAATTCATTGGGGATCCCTCACAAGTACTCCCACGTTGCCTCATCTCTCTCTCTCTTAAGAAGAATGCACTTTAAAACCTCTAATGCATAAATTAATTGGTGGTGCCCAGTGGATTCTTGTATCTGGAGGCTCTTCTCTCCCTCTAAGAGTATGGCATGGGCTTTCTTCTCTTATTGATCTGAGGTTTTGCCTACACGCGAAGTGATAAAACATTTCTGAGCCTCTCCCA